GAGAGCCCGCTTATTCACCAGCAATTTTCTGGTGACTTTAATGATGGTGGAATAGATATGCATGACTTACATATTGCAAAAATTTTACAACAAATATAGGCTATTTTTAAGTAGGTAAATTTACATTGAATTTTTACAATATACAATATTCAATATTTTACATTGAATATCTAAGGAAAAGAATTTTTCTATTAATGTCAAAGAATTATATCCAACTAAATGAAATCTAACCGAAACAAATCAATAAAACAGAAGCAAATAATAGTATATAAATTAAAATGAATAACAACCGTTATCTTTAACCGTTGACAAACAACGGTTTTTTTTTCTAAAATTTTTGTAAAGTCAAATTTTTTAGGGTTTCTATTGGTATTAATTTCTAGTAACATTTTCGGTAATTGCCAAATATTGCGTTTATTTTTCTTGCAAATATCTTATTTTAATTTTTTGTGTATAAACATAGAAGCAAAAACTTCAAGCAACCTCAGTGTGACACAAATTCATTTCAAAACATGACATAACAAAATTCCCTATTGATCTTGTCAATTGTTGTCGACTTTTCTACAATTTGTATTGACGCATTTGGATCTAATACACCTGCAAAAAAATTGCGTAAACTGACGTTGCACACCAGGTTATTCTGCAAACAAGGTTACCCATACACTGTACACAATTTTATACAAACTTCAGTTGCTTGTGTTGTGTACGTATGGAAACATGCCGTCTGACGAAGCAGCAAGTTTAGCTATAATAATTGCTGTTGCGTCAGAAGATAGTGTTAGAAAAAGAAAAAGGAAGCAGAGAGTATGGATGAAAGAGTGGTTAAAGAAAACTATATCTAGACTTTCATTCTGCAATCTAAAGGCTGCCAACTTGTTGCTGTCTTATCTTGTGACATCAATTTTACATTTTATAAGCTGTCAACTTGTTGGCAGCATGAGCTGTCTTGTCTTGAAACATCAATTGTACATGTTATAAGCTGCCAACTTGTTGACAACATGAGCTTTCCACATCTACATTTTTATTCTGCAATCGCAAGGCTGCCAACTTGTTGCTGTCTTATCATGAGACATCATTTCAGCATCTTATAAGCTGCCAACTTGTTGGCAGCATGAGCTGTCTTATCTTGAAACATCAATTCAGCATCTTATAAGCTGCCAACTTGTTGGCAGCATGAGCTTTTCTACATCTAGTCTTCCATTCAACAACAGGTTATTCTGCAAACAAGGTTACCTATACACTGTACACAATTTTATACAAACTTCAGTTGCTTGTGTTGTGTACATATGGAAACATGCTGCCGTCTGACGAAGCAGCAAGTTTAGCTATAATAATTGCTGTTGCGTCAGAAGATGGTGTTAGAAAAATAAAAAGGAAGCAGAGAGTATGGATGAAAGAGTGGTTAAAGAAAAGATCACTTTTTAGCCAAGCAAATCTTCTCAAAGAATTTAAGTTGAGTTGATCATTAGACTATAAAAATTATTTACGAATGAATCCCATTACTTTTGGTGAATTATTGGTCATGGTCAAAAACAAGACATAAAAACAGCGATTGTTGCGCAATTTCTTTGCAGATGTATGGGGCCTATATTGCATGGTGTGTATCCTCCCCCCTCTCTTCATTTCATCAGATGCACCAAGAATTAAATTTGATGAGTTCATCACCAATCCTATAGTTGATCAAACCGGTGCCAACAACTGATGCCATTAGTTAGAATTGCTAATTTTTGATGGAAAAATTTCCTTGAACCTAAGCAAAATTTCCCTATGTTTAGTACCAAATGCCTAGATTACGAAATTAATACTAAATTAATTTCAAAACGTTTATTAGCACTAAAATATAACTTCATTGTAATTAAATCATCAATGAAAGAAGAGCTTTTTCACATGAAATTATTTCTTTAGCGATAATAATAGTTTAAAATAACCTTATTATGTCTGTTTGTATGGCATTGCTTCAAGAAAACAAATGAAAAGGTGTTGTTGCATATTGCAAATTTTAAACATACTGATTGACAACTTTGTTAAGGTGGCTATGTGTTGCTTAGTTAAGGGTTGGTTACCGTTATGCCCGATTTACATTATTCCAATCAAGTAATCCAGCGAGTTAAACCAGCCCTCTACTGGACTAGACCATATTGTTTACATTATTCCAGCAATTACTACTGTTAGAAGAAGTAACTGATGTTTTCAGTTAACTTCATCATGAAATTATGAAATCACAACAATGCGTGTTTCTAAAAAAAATAATAATGCTGCGTGATCACTGTTCAACGTATTCAACACTGGATTGACTATGTAATGGGCAAGCTGGGGAGAAAAAGTAGACCGTTCAATCCAGTCACTGGAATGAGTGCATTTCAGTGCAGTGTAGTGCTGGTTCACATTATTCCAGTGGAATTTCAGGACTGGTTGCGATCACTGGACTGGAATACTTCTGGAATAAATGAACCGGGCATTAGTTACTGTTCGTTAGCTGCTATAGTGGACATAAAGAACAAATACGAATGATCAGGGATATTCTTAGTGAAGGGGATTCGGCGGAATGACGTCACATCGAAGCGGGAAAAATAAACTTGTATAAACGCAATTAGATCTATTTGGTTCTTAATTAAATTAAAAAGTAATTTAGTTGCTTTGTTAACTTTTTATTGTATAAGGCTATTATGTTTCATTACGGAATGTAAGAATTGGTATGCAATTGAAATAGGCAGAATAATTTCAAATACAGTTTTTTTTGTACCAAGTGTTTGACTCCTAAAGTGAATTTAATTTAACCATCCATTTTGCCAAAGATTATTGTTTATGGCACTTTCAAGTACAAAAGCATTAGAAATGTTATAACAAATATTACCAATTTACTTTTTTACGAATTTTATTTTGTGAACATAACACAAATTCTAGTATAATTGATTTTTCATTTAATAATTCAAGGTCAATTTAAAGCTCGGTTTACAAAGTCATATACTTTGTTTATTTCAACAGTATTACCCCGATGGAAGGAACCTAACTAAATCGATAAGTGTCACATAAATCTAAAATTTTGTACCTCCACTTTAAGTTTGACATTCAGTGTATTCTCATTATTCGATAGCAACCTGAATTGGTTATTGTTTTTCCAGATGAATTTAAATTGATCGTTAGTAAAGTAAAATCATAATTTGAAATGAAAGTAACGAAAACTTTTAATTTTGAAGTTATTTTAGTACTATGACTTTAAAAAAAACTAAAATTTCAACTTTCATAATAAAATTGGCCATCTTTTAAAAACGTTGTGTATAAAAACGTAATCAATATCGTTTTCTATTCATATCTCAAAGAAGTAAATATTTGCAGAAGCTGAGCGCTTGGTCATATAATCGTTCATCGTCCTATAATTCGAATAAAATACGTTTTATAAAGGTGTTTTCCAGATCGTTGTTAACGGTTGAGGTAAAACTCTTCGGAATTTAGTGTCCGAGAGTGAACCGGTGTTGGAAGGCGAATTTCTCGGCCAAACGAACCGCTAACTCGACCGGAAAACGGCGCTTTCCACTAGTAGCGTGATGAGTGTGTGGTGTTCAGTTTATTTCCAGTAAAACGCTCCAATAAAAGTATCAAGGCGGATTAAAAAATAATCAAAAAAGAAAATTTTGGTTTGTATCAAAAGATTTTTTTTATTTTTATCTTAAGTACACACCTGCACAATTGATGACTTTGTTTATAAATGAGTTATTTGAAACGTTTCGAGGTTCCGACCGCACGTGCAACCAGGAAACGACTCATCTCATCCGAACTACTTCATTTCATTTCGAGGAGTAAATTAAAATTAATTGGTTAGACCTTGTCTTTTAATTTACTCGCCACATAAAAAACAAAGGGAATTAAAAAACTTTATCTAAATTATTAAAGCGCTAAAATTGTTTATATGTTGATAATACCGAGTTGAATTAAATTTTCTCTTTGGTCGATCGTTCATATTATGTTACTTGGACACGTACACGGGAAAAACACGAATTGCTCTAAACCCAGTGCCAAGATCGTTACGGGAAAGAGGAAGGAGCCATGCATTTATTAAAGTACTTGGACCAGTTCCATCGATTGTACCGTCACCAAAATCCAATTTGACACCGGTCTTTTGATGTTAAAGGTCGTCGGTAAATGATTGCTTTATACGTTTTTGCTACAGGAAACGTCTACTATATTAAGTGCATTACGTTGAGGATGTTTCCAAAAAAACTTCTATGTTCAAATAAAAATAAATAATAAAATAGAGTGAAGAAAAGTAGTGGTATTTAAAACCACAAATATTGATACGTTAAGAAATACTTTGTACATCGTAAACTTGAGTTAAGTTGAATGAAGATTCGAATAAATTTTCGTTCTAGTATGAAAAGAATGGTTGTGTACATAATAAATTTAAACTGAATTTATTCATAAAGTTGCATTTTTCATCGCTCAATTTGAAAAATTCCTTTTACACTTCATCTTAGCTTTCACCATTAAGCCTAAAATGAAAAGTAATGAATAATGTATGATGATGAATATGAAATATGTAGCACATACTTGAGGATTGAGAGTTTTTTGTTTAAATTGGAATCAGATTAAAATAAAAGCGCAGTGATTCATGATTTAAGAACCTTTTCGCATATGAAATATTATTCGTGAAGAAAGTTGTCTATACGAAAGTGTTTTTGCATGAATTTTCAAGTTGAATGTATTGCGAGCCAACTAACTTGATGAAAAATGTTTAATTTATTCTTACATTGGAAACCCCGCTGGGATAGTCTTGGTGGATGATACTCGATAGCTTGCCAGTGAGGGGTCTCGGGTGCGATTCCCGTTGGAGTGTTTGAAAAGAAAACTTGTGTTTATGTGGTGTTTGGTTTTCTATCTTCCTTTTGGAATATATTTCTTGTTCCTGAAAATTATTTGTCTTAATGGTGTTATCTGTATTAATTTTATCCTTTTTTACTTTATATATGGAAAATTTATTATTTTTTCTTTTTTTTTTTTTTTAGCACATGGTGCAAACGGGGATGAGTGCGCCGTTCGGGGCAGCCGCGCCGGCAGGCTTCCCCGCACAAAATGGCGAGATTAAGCCGGCCGAAGTAAAAGATGCACCTCTGTTGCCGCCTCCAGCCACGGGGGCGCCGTTTAGTCCACCTCCACAGCCGCAGGCGGCTGTAGCAGTGGCAGCGGCCGCCGCAGCAGCAGCAGCAGCAACAGCCGATCAGCAGCAGGTCAACAGTCCGGCGAGGCCGTACACGGTTGACCAACAACAGCCACCCCAGGAACCAGAACAGGCGTCCGCGCCGCCCTCTCAAACGCAGACACAAGATGCGGCTGATGCCGCCGTCGCAGCAGCTGCGGCAGCAGCAGCAGCCGCAGGAGTCGTCGCCGTTTCCGCTTCGGCACCGACCACTGCCGATCCCGCCAAAAATCAACCAAAGAGGCTTCATGTCTCTAACATTCCGTTTCGATTTAGGGATCCAGATTTAAGAGCCATGTTTGGGGTAAGAAAATTTCTATTAATATATATTAGTGATATTTCTATTAAAAATTGTGACCTTGCTGATGTATATATCATTCATCCTGCTATCAGAATTAGGTCTGTGAAAAAAGTCAAATTTTGAATTATATTTTGAGTTGATTTTTTTGATCAAATCTCACTTCTAACCATATTGACAGTTTTTCGATAAATTTGACATAAATTTCCCTTCGTTAAAACATCAGCAGGCATTTTTTCAGTTGGCATATAGAATATTTTGATCAACCTGTTTGAGACTGCTTCTCTAACAAAATGATGTCTGATGTCAATATGTACGTTTATGAAATATAGGATTAATTATCAATTTTTGAGCACTTTGACTATCATTATACAGAACAACAGTCTTTACATCTTGAAATTTTACCTCTTTAACCCATTGGCTGCCTAGTATTAATTCTATAAACACTCCTGCTTCCATCAATGGATAAAATGAGTTTAGCTTGTGCTTTTTTAATTTTATCTTTGCCAGTTTCTGTACCTAATATACATTTATCCAATACATCTAATATTAAAAAATGTTGTATGGCAAATGTCTATTCGTCGTAGTTTATTCTACCTTTTAATTTTGGCACGTTACTAAAAAATTCTCTGCAGCCATTTCTGTTTTAACCTCTTCCGTTTCTTCAGTTATTTGTTTATCCTTAAACACCCACTAGTTACGTTCTGGCCCATAACCTGTTTTTCTGGGATTCTTTTATGGTCCTCAAATACACAAGAAACTACTGTTTCACTGAACTGTTTTGTTTAAAGGGTTTTATTAGAACTTATTTTATAAAACATACAGCGATTCGTTTTTACCAAGTTGACAAGTTTTTTTATTTCGTCTTGTACCTAACTTAACAGTGTAATAGTTTCTCCTTTCTACCGTTAGATGTCGCTTATATCGCTATTATTAACAACAATTTACCACTAATTGTGAGTTGGTTTGTGTTTATATTTAGTTAAGTTGACAAATATTAAACTCATTCAAAGTATCTAATCTTTGCCAGGCTTATATATTTAACATCTTATAAATATTCTCCTTATAATATTTGAACGTAAGTGACAGTGATAGTGGATTATTGACATATTATTGATTTACAATTTCAATGTCATTACTTGAAAGTTCAAATATTATCTTTGCCAGTTCAGAAGTGTCAATAATTAAGGTTCAAATGTTGATATTAACCATTGAAATGTCATTAAGTGATAGCGAACTTATTGTGAACAGATATAATCTCACTCAGTATCAGATAAAATCTTGTTATTGACAGTTTGAAATGTCTTAATTGGCTTACCATTAAGAAATAATTAGACGCAATTTAATCAAGTATATCCTTTTATGACACAAATTTAAATGTTGCGTAAGTAAACTCTGAGATCTTATCTGACAGACTATTGTGATATTGAGACATAAAACAGATGGTTTTACTGAAGTCATAAAGTTCTTTTGCATTCTCAGCATAGCTATTTGTCATGTTTTTTTTTCTTGAACATAAATCGACGCTTCCAAGCCAAAATGGCATAAACAACATTTACTTGATATTTCAGGAAACACAAAATCTTTTTTTTGCGGTAATGTCGCTTTAACTGTTGGATGCAGATTTAAAAATCCTGTTCAAAGGTGGTAAAAAGTTACAATTTTGGGATTTATGCCCTTTTGGCTTGGCAACATAGAAATAATATAATTTTCTATAGGAATTCTAATAATTCGATGAATTGTTCCATATTTTTCCAGATACATATTTGTTAGATGCTGGTTTGTTCATATATTCTTCATCTAGCTTATTTTAATGAAAATGGCAATCAATATTATGTTGAGTCTGTTGTTGAGTAAAGGTTTAGCAATACGTATGAGGAAAATTTGTTCCATTCAAAAACCTTTTCTCCTCAGGTAAAAGTCTAATGCCATGTTCTGGCATCCGTAAGGTATATTATTTTAAATAGACGAGTTTGTTAAGTATGTAGATTTTGAATGGACATCGACCTTAAAACTAATTAGCATTTCGTGGACACATGCATATGATCTATTTATATAACAAACTTGGCTAATTATAAATAAATTGTTCGAATATTTCTAATATTGCAGATACAGGATTTTCATTTTTGTTCCTTCATATGAATAAAAAAATAAATATTGAACTAATACAATGAATATTATCAAACAATTCAGGAAACAGACATGTCATTAAAAATAAACAATATTAAACAATGTTTTTCATGGTTTCTGGGACGTCTTGAATTTTCAAAAGTGTGTCTTTACATGCTTGAATTTGATTTCTCGAATACAGCGAGGCAATAATTCCTTTCTTGGTTCCAATTTTATAAAGTCCATCATTTGTTGTCTCCAAAACTACGCCAATTAAGTTTCGCGCATCTCCTTTGCTCCTGTCAAGGCTTGGAACTGGCACAGTAACTGATGTTCCAACCTCAATCGGAGGAAATTTTTTATTAGATCTATACTTCATTTTCTTTGTCTGCTCTTTCAATCCTTCGACAGCTTTCGTTTGATTTGAAGTCATCGTTTTTCTTGTTGCACACCGTAGACATAAAACTGATGCTTCGTAACCCTCGTTGGTATTACAAATATTTTACGTCAGTAATTTGTTTAGTGTGTTCCATATTTTGCCACTTTGTGCCATATGGTCAACGGATCACAAATTTTATCAACATCCTCATGACATATTTCTTATCGAGAGAATACCTCGATAACTGGTTAGCAACCTCGACATCATCCATTTCATAATGCGAGGCTGACTCAAGTGTTTCAAAAATCTTCTTGATGAACCCATAATAGGCTTGTTTTGGTTCAAGAGTTCTGAATAGTTCTGAACCTTTCTGCACATACGTATAATATGCAATAGTATGCACAGAAAGTTCGAAGTGAACCAGTCACTTCGAACCAGTTTCTGAAGAAGGTTGTAACATGGCATCCGAAACGTCAAACCTTTTATTAAAAGACACACGGCAAAACGCGAAAGTTTCTAGTGTTAGTTCTAATTTTAGTTTAATAAATATAGATTTCAAAAAGCGCGAATTGAGAATGAAAAAAGAACTAAAATCTTTGAGTAAACTTAATTGGTTCTGTAAAAGTCAGATGCACATTTCTTTCACACCTTGACCCTTCCGTGTAGAGTTGTATAATTTTTTATCCCTCAGATGCAACATAACTCGGTTGAAAGGTTGGATGGAATATTTGGAACGGGAAGCGTTTCATAAATGTGTAACATAAAATGATCAATAATGCCCAGATTTAGCACCCTTCCCTCGTTTTATTTTCAGCTGGCACGTTCTATCACCATACGCGCTTATTTTGCAAATAGTACACGGTTTATTGATTACACCTATTAAGGATTTCATAAAGTTCAGATGAATAGTGGCGTTAATCACGTGATGATTTGAACGTCAGTTAATTTTTTTTTCAAAATTGCAAAATAATGACGCAGATGGTAATTACTCTTCAGAATCAGTTGAGTGAGATAGTTATACAAGCTAGAAAATGAAATAGATAGTAGATCTTGATTTGAAGATACATGACTTCAGTAACAAAAATTGCTAAATTGACAATATTGAAGACAAGTCTTTGAGGTTTTTGTTACAAACGTTTTTATGTTTTGTGTTTTTGTAGAAAATAATCCGTAATATGCGATTTATGATTCTAAATCCCCAAATGGAAATAAAAATATGTTGTCATGAGGATTTCTTTTCTTATTATGTTAGTAAAATGCTTATTGGACCAAGGATTTTATTGATTCCTACTTTTCATAAGATGACGAATTGCTTAAGGTTTCTGCATTTTGCCAACTTTGTACATTTTCCAACTTTATTGTTACTATGTTGGAAAATATAGTTTTTACATTAACAAAACCATAGTGAGGTAACACAATTAGCACTCCAGCCCACATTTGTACGATATATGAACTCTATGTACAGTGTGTTAATTAATTATCGTACCCGACGTCATCATTGCAAGTATGCAACCAATATCACAGTGCAATACGCATCATGCGCAAATCGCGTATTGCAATAAAAATATTGTGATATTGGTTGCATACTTACAATGATATGAATCAAATCGAAAAAGTTAAGAAGCCAACGTGTGTCACTGGTGATGACATGACCAATATGGGGGGAAATTAATGAAATAAATAAGGTTTTGAGTGTCATGGAATTTTTAAAAAAAGGTACAAAGTAGTATAAGAGAGATGTTTATACTGTTTTGATCTTTATTGGACCATCAGAAAACAAACCAGCGAGACCTGGCAACAACAAACCAAAGACGGACATTTACTAAAGTTCAATCATTTAGTTTCGAATACCATTTTTGGTAATGCTTTGAAAGTTAACCCGTTGTAACTATAATGCGAAAAAAAGAACTGTTTTCCAAAACGTCAAAGATGTTCAGCTCATTCAGAGAAATTTCCAGATCTTTGATCGAATTTTCTAATTAAATTTGTGTTTTACACCTAAACTTACATATTATATGTAAGCTAATATTAGATTTTTAACTATAAATATCAAAATCAATATTTATTTCAACTACTAATTCCATCATTATGTATAAACATAACTTTTAAGCGATATTTTCCTTTAAAATTATACCAAATATCGATTAAATGCTACTAACCATACAAGTACATCGATTTGACCCACCCATTAATCTTTTTTTTTTATAAACATTGAAAGATTAAACAGCTAAAAGTCATGCAATAAGCTTTGCATACAATAACCGGCGAGAATATGCGATTATAAAACAAGTAAAAAATTCTATCGGTTGCCAAAAACTTTTTTTATAGCTTGTAAAGTTTAAATTTATAAATGTTTAAAGTACTAACGTAATTTCTGTTTTTTTCTTTGCAGCAATTCGGCCCAATATTAGATGTAGAAATAATATTTAATGAGAGAGGATCAAAGGTACGTGTCTTTTACTATTTAAATACATTTTCTTTACGAAAAGAAATTTATATAAACATTTTTTCATTTTCTTTTTTTATTTTCAATTTAACCCAAAAAGAAAAAAATTATTGAAAAGATTTAGAAACATACTGAGAGAATTATTTATCGCGGAAAAAACAAAGCTGTGTTTTATTTATCAGGGTGTCTATAAACTTTCCCCGTAAAAAAAGATTTATTATCACTTAAAACAAACCATTTCGTTATCGTTCTCACTCAAAAACCGTAGGAATTTACACACCAAATAACAATTTGTTTTTAGTTCCTTTTTTTATTTTAATTATTTTTTTATTTATTTAAATTTATTTTTAGTTAATCTTTTCGTTTATTTTTTTTTTCTCTTCTCTCCCTTTTTTTTCTTCGCCTATTTATTTATATTTTATTATTTTTTTTTATACATACATTACGAAATAGTGACTAATAAAATTTACCATTATTTATTAGAGAATGTGGCTAACTCGCTAAACATACATTTTTTTAATTACATTTATTATTATTATTGTCAATATGGGTTCTTTTTTTTTAATTTATAATTTTCATTATTTTATTACTTTTTCTCCCAATTGTACATATTCTCGCCTACGTTCGGTTTTATTAATACACCAAAGAAATATTTTCTTATTTTGGTTAATATATTTTTTTTGAAACATCATATTCTCTCCCGCGGTTAATTGATAAAAAATTCTTCGTATTAAGCCATTATCATCGGCGAATTTTCCACGCGATCGTGATCACCTCCCCAAAAAATAAACAAGCCCCAACAATTACAACCCCCCTTTTCTTTTAGACAACTAAAAATGTGTATATTTGGAACATTTGAGTTTGTGTGGTTTGTGTTTCTGGAATGGCGTGCGACAGCTAAACCAAAAAAATTAGAACCAACGTACATTAAACAAACTACATTAAATTTTTTTTATTATTAGAATTATATCATTGGATTACAAATTAATTTAATGATAATTTCTTTTATTGTTTAGTGTGATATAATGAAAATTTCACTTGTAACTTGTTGATAAGTTTGTTTAAGCGTACGTTCGGCATTTTAAAAAGGATTGTTGCGTAGTGTCTACATGTCCTAACGTAATCTTGCAACCAAAACTGACAGAGCATATTAAATAATGAATCCGAAAAAAAGGATTACCATTACTATTTTATACATTGAGCCGTTGCGAATGCGAATCAGGAGCTGTGCAACCACGTTTTACTATATACATTGTATATTACGTTGAGTTTTCGATTTTTGAGTAGGAGCAGCACGATTCATACGTGCATGGAAACATTTAACTCTTTTTATTTTATTTTACGGGTTGGTTTTTACCCTAACTTTTCTCCATTTAATTTTATTATTTTTTTCTTTGGGTTTTCTAATATGTTGTTTTTGAATTATTTTTATTGTCATTTTTATTTTTTTAATATTTATTCATATTAGTTTTCATCAAATCCGGCGAGAAGGTGTTAAAATAATAATATAACTTGTTTCGAGTTTAAAACTCATCATTAAAGTACACTGTATTAATTAATTATCGTATCCGACATCATCATTGCAAGTATGCAACCAATATCGCAGTAAAGGTATTGCAATACGCAAACTGTGATATTGGTTGCATACTTGCAATGATGACGTTGGGTACGATAATTTATTAACACACTGTATATATATGTTTTAAATTTAAACAAAATTAAGTTGAAAAAGAAACTAACTTTAAACTTATATTATACATTTCTCAGAAGTACTTCAATTATATTGAGAACGTGACACTTTTCTTAGTAGGGAATAAATTTATATTAGGGTGGTATTATACTTTGGAAGACGTCTTCTTGGTTGGTTCTATTAAACGAGAACGAGCTATTAGCTGTCTCATAACTTCCATTCGACTATAAATGATATAATAATTGAGCTATAAGCAAACGTTATGTTATATTTTTGTATAAAAATATTTTAAAAATATTAACTTGATGATATAAACAGAATTCATATCATTCGCTACGACTTTGCAAAGAATATTGGGCAAGAAGACGAAGAAAAGACCCCGACAGAAAGCAAGCTATCAACTAGAACTAAATCATAGCATCATGATCATTACCGTCTAAAAGTGCATCCTAACAGATTCGAATTAACTTAACATTAGGTGAGACTTGAAATACACCTCTTGGTCAGATTACCAAGAAGTCAATAAAAAGATGACAAAGATAAAAATATATGAATTATTCGAAGGTTAGACAAAGTAAGGCCGATTATAATAATAAGAAAAGTAGCTCTTAAAATAATTTTTGAAGAGAGTTTTTGATAAATCTGGCAATGCAAATCTCTTCATGGTTGCTAAAGGTTTGAATGGAGATGGCCCAACCCAATTCATAAAAGACACATCTGCTTTGAACATGTTTAGCAGTTATAATTTATAGTATGAGACAATTGGATATAGTATACGTAGATTAGTCATATTTAGTCAACCTTACTGCGGGTTGACTTCACAAGTGTCATAGTGTATCTATTTGAAGCAGGAAGATTTGTTCGATCCCGATATTAAACTTGAAAAAAAAATTGTTCCAGGGATAGGACCAAGGTTATACCAAAACGGCAATTTTCTTACTTCACCCAATATTTTTTTTCATAGTGTATCTATGACACTTTCAGGATTGAGATCAAAGATAAAATTTAGACATGATTTCCAAATTTGAACATTCTGTACTGACGTAACGCAATATTTATATGTCTCTCAGAGCCAAGATATCTAGCAGAAATACCTATTCCTCTTGCACTACTCAAATGTTGATAGAAAATCTAGAAGAACAATCTCCGTGGACACTTCCCAAACATCACAACGACCAATTTTGCCAGATTTGGGTCACTTTTAGAACAACATTACAATTAATAAGCTATATTTTAGACATGTCAAAAGTTATCACAGGAACTTCCCAAATCTGGAGAGGAAAAATTCTTTCTCAATGAGACTACTAATGACAGCTTTCACTTTTTCAGTTCATTTGTCATCAAGATTTCAAAGACGATGATGGCAGAAAATTCTTTTCGACTCGTTTGGCCCACATTTCTTCTTTATCATTTCCCTCAAGTGCTATTATAGCGTTGGGGTGTTGTTGATATCCTCTATCCATCTACTAAAATATTTCTATTCCTTACTTCTTGTATATTTCTTCATCTGTTGTGCACTATTTGTTCTACACTATCTTTCCATTTTATTTTTGACCTGACTCTTTTCTGTTTTGCAATTATTCCTATACTTTTTCGGGTCATTTGTCATCAAGATTTCAAAAGACGATGATGGCAGAAAATTCTTTTTGGCTCGTTTGGTCCAGATTTCTTCTTTATCATTTCCCTCAAGCGCTATTATAGCGTTGGAGTGTTGTTGGTATCCTTTATCCATCTACTAAAATGTTTCTATTTCTTACTTCTTGTATATTTCTTCGTCTGTTGTGCATTATTTGTTCTACAGTATCTTCCCATTTTATTTTTGACCTGACTTTTTTCTGTTTTGCAATTATTCCTATATTATCCATTTCTCTTCTGGGGAAATTTCCATTTCTCTTTATCTTAATTACATCATCTGTTCGTATTCTATTTTGCTCACTACAGTTAGTTGTTCTAAATCATCTCATACAGTTTTGTTTGTAATTCAATTCCCGTTTATTTGTATATTTATGTTTTCATCTTATTCTCCTTTCATTATCTGCATAATGCATCTTGGGTTTTCCTATATTTATTTGCATTTGCCTTTCTTCTAAGCAGGTTTTGCAGATATCAGCATTATATCGTCTGCATAGGCTAGATCAAAGGTCTTCATCGGTGTTAGTCAGTAATAACCTATTGTGCTTTTACTTTACAATTCTTAATTATATGATCCAAGAATATTGCAAATAGTAGTGGCAGTGTCAAATAATGATAACTATAGCACCCTAGACAAAAATTGAGTTAGGTTCCCCCTTGTTCGACTATTAAGTACGATTAGTTATGATCGATTGAATCTTCAAGGGTCTCACCCGAGCCCAGGGTCCTAGGCAATTGCCTATTCGATAATCCGACACTGAATAGTGGCCTCAAATTGTGCCCTTATTTCAAACTACACTACATGGAGAAAATATTAAAGTTTTTGAACATTTCTCTATTTAGCCATTTTAATGTATAAGGCTTGCCATATTTCTTCTTTTGGTACCCTATCAATGGCTGCGGTTAGATCCACAAAAACTAGATACAGATCCTTACCCAGATAGATTATTCAAATTCTAAATTATGTAATTATTGCTTTAATCTGCCTCTACTCTCAAGATATCTACTATGATCAAGACAAAAAAAAGATTCTACAATTACAATTCCTCTTTTCTGTTAGCCTTGAAGAGTCTGAAGATATCCACATAATGTCTTTGTGGACTGAACTTTAGCACATGCTCAAAAATATCTGTTAAGAAAGTGACCATTTTCTTGGGACGTAATCGTATCTCAGTATGTTATATAATAAGGGCTCACTGTCCTTTTATAATCATCTCTCAATAGTCTTCAGCTATTATAACCAACACCCCAACACGATAAGTTGCAACTCCGACATTTTATCCCAGTTAATATTTTGAAAGGAATTGAGCAATGGTATTGAAAATGTCTTCATTTTTTCGACGCATCATTCTAAACAGAAAAAAGTTCATATAAGTGGAACTTCCAAACAAAAATAACGGAAATTGCATTTTATTCATAAAATTTACTTATAAAGCAAATGTGTCATAGAAATTTTTCCTAGAGATGTCAAAAATTCTTTGGCTTGTTCTAATTGTTTTAGCTGCTTAGACTCATCCAGTATTGTTTTTAACATTTGTGATTGTATACAGCTTACAAAGTTTGCAATTGTATCAAGAATATTAAAGCTTGTTTTGATTACATCTTTAATTCGCCTCGCTTAACTACAAAAAATCTTTGCTTTTAGTTTTAGATTCAAAATTTGTTTTAAATGCAGAACAATACAGTAAAATGCTTAAAAATTGAACTGGTGAATTGGTTTAAAGTTTCTATGATTTTATGCAACATTTTTAGCAGAACTTTAATAACTTAACTAGGCAGTTATAAGGATACTTATTGAAGCATTTTATAGTTAAAAAAAACATATAAAAATATAAGAGTATTTGTTATTTTAACACCTTCCGCAACTTATTTTTCTTATTATTTTTAACAAAATTTCTTTTTTCCCCAATTTTTTTTGTATCTATTTCCAAATCTTATCCGTGCTCGTGTCAGGCTGGCATACATTTAAATATATATTATTATTATTGGCTCGCTGTAGAAGAAAACGAACGTTTCGCGACTTGAACTTGCGTTGGTGTGTGTGATATGTCCCTTAAAAAAAGTAATACTTACAGGGCAGCCGCTGGAAAGTGCGTTGTTAATAAGTTTGTTTTTTTGGCTGCACAGGGCTGCGCCGTTTCCTCCCCTCCCCCGGTATACTTATTTGTTTATATATATTTTTTTTAATTATTTATTTTCATTTTGAGAATCTTTCCATAGCTCTCTCGTTATAATTCCCATTCTCGTTTTTTGCGTGTAAGATTGAATTGAAATGAGACTGATTGGGTGGTAGTGTACATAGTTAGGAGATGGATTTATACGTTGGATGGATGGATGCTTTGTTTTTTATATTAATTACCCAAACAAAATTAATGGGTGTTTAGATCATTTAAGTATCAAAAAAAACTCTAATATCTATCTAGTACAGTGTGTTAATTAATTATAATTATCGTACCCGACGTCATCATTGCAAGTATGCAACCAATATCACAGGATTTTTATTGCAATAGGCGATTTGCGTATGATGCGCATTGCACTGTGATATTGGTTGCATACTTGCAATGATTAATTAATGAATTGTACTTAATTTATTTATCAAAATTGATGATTTTTTTTTTGATATTTAATGTATCAGACTAAAAAAAATTGTAAATGGAATGTTTTCAGCGGTCAGATCCACACAACCCCTTTTACCATACAAACAAAAAAATGAGAAGTACCTCCAGTAACATTATTTATTAGGCTTTAACCGACCTCGTAGTGGTTTTTGAGTTAATTTGTTGATTTCTCTAACGGAGCAAGGCTTGTAGACGCATGTCGTCTAACGTTTTTTCCATATATCAACCCTGCCCCCCATACGACCCCTTTTCAGAACCGCACATTGTTTACTACATATCATTATTTTTTTTATTTTTAATTTTTTACGATACTGACAATGCGTCATCGCCGCCATTTATTGACCGCCCGCCGTTCAGTTGGCATCATTTACTCTCTACTGATATGACCGATTTTTTGAATTGGTTACACTTTTTTGAGTTGCGAAAGTTTCCCTTTTAAATCTTCATCTGATTCCAACCTAACTCATTAAAACTTCATGCACATTTTGGGCTTTGTAGTTGATTAAAAATAAGTTGTCAAAAAATAATATTTTAAGAAGTGGTGGTTTTGGAATTGGATTTGTAGCGATTTTAACAGGGATTCGTTCGCCCTCTACTATTTATTATTATTATTATTGTGTCATTTATTATTATTATTATTACTGCACGAGTTTTCGCTGTTTTTATAATGCATGTCTGTCTGTCTTTGCATGCAGGGGTTCGGTTTTGTAACGTTCGCAAATAGTTCTGATGCGGAGCGAGCACGAGACCGTCTTCACGGCACCGTGGTTGAGGGAAGAAAGATAGAGGTGTGCATGACTTTATATTAGCTACGTGTAGCACTGGCCTGTCCCTCCTCCCCGGTAAAACAAGGTCAAAACCTCGTGTGGCTTGGCTTTAGTGACTAACCGGTAGCACACCCTCCCGCTTCACACGTGTTGTTTTGACGTTCTTTTGCCGCACACACTACAATTATACATACTATATATATATTTATTATGATAATGATAATTTTACTATATATATTTAAAAACTTATTTACCACTTACATCTCTCATTCATCAAAAAGAAAAACAAACATGCAAATAGAACCCCGTTAAAAATCAAAATGTATAGTCAACACATAAAGTAGTGCAAGCTAATATAGATAACCCAAATTACATAATTGTTTTAAAAAATAAAGTTTAATGCATGATTTTATAAGTTGATGTTACATTTTATGCGATTAATATGTACAACTTAACCAAATTTAACGCGGTTCTATTTCATGCTTAAAAAGAGAAAACCAAAAACATAGTTGAACCTTACTTAGGCGATAAATGTAAGACACACAAAACACAAATATTCGATAAAAAGAAATCGATTAAATAAAATTGTCCCCCCCGGTTTAAATAAAATTAGGTTAAAACAGTTTAAAAGAAATGTTATTTGATTATAAAAAAAATAAATAATTATATTGAGTTCTGACCGTGTTCCTCCAATTGTTGCGATTCTCTAGAGAGCCGCGGGCCGAATTAAAATGAATGCATACACGTGATTGAATGCAATTGAAAAACGAACTCGCTCGCTCTCGTGGATAACCGAATAGTCAGTCAGACAAGTCAGTTCTTCCTCCTCCTCGCTCGAAATGTTGTTGTCAATCGCACTCACGGGCACGCCGAGGAGGTAAGTGGATGAGGCCAGCGGGCGAGGTGCCGGCGCCCCCCTAAAATAGAAAAAATATATTTAATAAGGGGGACGCCGACCACTCGCCGTGCCGAAATATATTGAATTTAATTTTTAAAGAAAACAAAAAATATACAAGTTACTCTTTATGCGTAATTTTTAACGATTAACTCTTTTAAAACTAATGTCCTCACACGATCTTCCCCCGACTCTATCACTTACAACACATTAATACACAAATATCATTTTTTTTTAAAAGATCCACTTTTACATAACACTCAAAAATACAATACCTAAATTTACACGTTCAACCTTAATATTTACCTAAAATCCTTTACTCGAAAGTATATTTCCTATATTTTAGATTTTAAGTTTAGTTTTTAAGGAGATATTTTGATTATGTAAATTTATAAGAGCATTATTTATTTGATTTAATTTATTTCAACTTGGAGGGTGTGAATATGTAGCAACATTAATAATCAAGATTTCTTGTAAACAAAAATCTCTTACAAATTTACTATTCAATTATATTTTAAAAATAAGATTTAAAAGTACATTTTTTCATATACAAATTTTTTTACTTATTATATATTTTAAAATCAAAAAAAAAAATGACAAAAATGTACTTTCTTTATATATTACGTAATATTCTAAGTCAATTATTGTAATTTTTTGATTTGTAACTTAATTTAAAGAAGAACATAAATTGTGAAGTAGCACTTAAGAAATTTGAATTGTATAAATTTTTAATTTATTAATTAGCTTGTGCAATAGATTTTACGCAACGAATTGGTAATTCTAATCAACAATGTTTTCTAATGCATATTTACAAGATTGTTTGATTTAAATGTTAAATTAGAATGTTTTAAATACTAAAAAATGTTGGTTAAGAATTAACCTTTCGTTTTAATTATTATTTTATTAGTTTTAGTATCTTCTAACGAAAGTATTTGTATTACTAAGTTCATTTTTTTAAATCAATTTGTTAATAAATCAAAGATTAAAATACGAATGCTCGCGTTAGATTGAAAAAGAACACCAACTAACATTCCCCTTTTTTTCTTCGCCCATTTTAGGTAAACAACGCCACAGCGCGAGTACAGACGAAGAAACCTCCAGCTTTACCAACAGGTAATCATTATTTTCAACCTATTCAATGCACTAGTAAGTAATTGCACGGAGGGAAGCAAAAAGTAATTGCTAAATAATAACTGGTTGTATTGTTTTTGGAGAAGGGTATTATATGTAGATTTGTTAGAGCAATTTTCTTCGCTTTTATATAATTACATTATTTGTTTCATTAACATACAATTGAAACTTGAAATATTCTAAGAGAAAAATGTTGTTCGAAGTAATTCATTTGTAGGTGTTATCAAATTAATGAATGAGATTGTATTTTATTAATGATTATTGTCTTTCAAATAAAAAGTATGAGTTGCTTTAAAAGTAAAGTGCCAAATTATGATTGCAGATGAGTTTAAAACGAATTGTTGCATTAAATTTTAAAATTGAATAATATAAAGATAGGACAAGAAATAATGCATTATTAATATGGGAGATTGAAATGATCTTTATGTCAATTTTGTCAAAAAAACTCGGTTTTATTAGATGCGAAGCTTTTTGCTGCACTTGTATTTTTAGGCTTTTTTTGATTCCTGTTTCAAAATCCAACCTTTTCCGACACGTTTATTTTTTTCTATGATTTTGAATCTCAAATATTTTGAGTATTCATAATGTCATAAGTTGCTACAAGTATAATTATTAATATGGGAGATTGAAATGATCTTTATGTCAATTTTGTCAAAAAACTCAGCCATTGCGGTTTTATAAGGTGCAGTTTCTTGCTGCACTTGTATTTTTAGGCATTTTTGATTCCTGTTTCAAAATCCAATCTTTTCCGACACGTTTATTTTTTCCATGATTTTGAATCTCAAATATTTTGCGTATTCATAATGTCATAAGTTGCTACAAGTATAATCATTAATATAGGAGATTGAAATGATCTTTATGTCAATTTTGTCAAAAATCTCAGCCATTGCGGTTTTATAAGGTGCAAAGTTTCTTGCTGCACTTGTATTTTTAGACTTTTTTGATTCCTGTTTCAAAATCCAATCTTTTCCGACACGTTTATTTTTTTCCATGATTTTGAATCTCAAATATTTTGCGTATTCATAATGTCATAAGTTGCTACAAGTATAATTCATAATGTATCTTGCTGCAAATCAGCAAATATTCTGCAGCATACTTCAACCCATATAAATTAAAAGATAAGCTTTTCTAAACTTTTCAATAAGTTGTTGCAGAGTTCCAGGTTTGATACTATACTTATCAGCGACTTTTCATAGAGATAATATCCTCGAAGTATCTTCAAATCTTTTTTTCGACTATATTTTCTGTATTGTGCAGCATCTTGAATACTTCCAGTTATTTATTGCACTTGTTTATAAGATCCACTCTTCCACTCCGTACAGAATCATCATTCTTAATATTTCACGAACCTCAATCTCAAGTTAAGATCGAAGCCTGAATTTTTAAAATGCATGTCCCAGGTCCAATTTTCAAACAGTCATGTCTCCAGGTATTTTTATTATCATAAATTTGGTCTTCTTTATGTATATGTTACCGGCAATCTCCGTTACGCCGGTACGCCTAAGATTGACTAGGCAATTCGCACAATGTATGCAAGTAGGCAAACTTAGGTGTACCAAATGAGGTTCAGGCAAAGTCTGAAAAGTGTAAATTAACTTCGGATTTTGCCTAAGTGGGTTAGGCAAATTAAGGGTGCGCACATTCAAAGCACTGTTTACTGCTATCAGCGTTATCAACAAGCTGTCTATCAATAGAACTCTATTTTTGTAAATAAAAAAAAAGGAACAACATACATATAAAAAATAAAATACTTGGAACAGGCACAGTAATTGATAAATAATGTCAATGTAATTGTAAATTTCATTTTCTCTGCTTGCTCTTTCAATCCTTCAACAGCTTTCTCTTGATTTAAAGTCATCGTTTTTCTTGTTGCACAGCGAAGACATAAAACTGATGCTCTGTAACCCTCATTGGTATTACTTGTACTCTGGGCACAGATGACATAAACATTTCGCGCACAGCTATAACACTTGTGGACTCCTGAAGTTTCTTTTTCGCATATGCAACAAACAGGTTCCAATTTTGTCATATCAACATCAAGGGCAGGAGTTGTTCTTTTAGTATTTTCTGCATCAGGAAACGGAGTTGATCCTCCAAAACTTTCTGCATTAGGACCACAAATGGAATTCCAATATGAGCATTTCTTCTCAGAGGTCTAAATAGAAAATTATTGTTTATTTATAGCCTAGCGCTTTTATCATTCTATCTCTTCCACCGTGCCCACATTCACGATGAGCGTTGTGAATTACGTCAAAAAGATCGTCATTTGTAACAAAATATTTTACGTCAGTAATTTGATCAGAAACCGGAAGTATTAACTTTTTTATCACCTACACGTAGCACATCGTATGTTTAAGGCGACGATATTGTAATGTAGATTTCTCACTTGCTTTTTTTGCAGCTTCTACTTCTTTAATAATTTCCTGGTAGCGTTGCTTGCTTTCAATTATAAATGTATTTGTTCATGTTTATCAATTTTTCCATAAATTTAGATCTCAATTCTGTTTTGACGTTTTGGTTTTTAAAAGGCACACAATCGGTTGCATTTATTACACTTCTCATTTTGAAACTTTTAGCTCGAAGTACACTCAACCGCAGTAAGGGAATGACTGATCGTCGACAATTTGAAATTTGCAGAGTGCGTCGTGCTCATCACTAACAAGGAAAGCACGTGAAACTAAAATTTGCATGACCCACTTTAGGCAAAGTCCGAAGTTAATTTACACTTTTCATACTTTGTCTGAGCCTCATTTGGCACATCTAAGTTTGCCTAGTGGCATATTAGGCAAACCCCGACATTAAAAGTTATTTCGGACTTGGTCAAAAATGCTTCAGGAAATTGCCGGTAACATATACATCCATGCCCATTGATCTGCTACTTTCTTCCACTACATCGACTAACCGTTGTAACCCTTCCAAGTTGTCAGCAATCAAGATTGTGTCATACAAATCTCAGCATTATCAAGTGCTTCTCGAAATGCTGCCCATGAGTAGAAATTTAACAAGATTCTGATCAGAATACTGATGCCCAAAAAGAATTTCGATGCATCTGATGTCCTTCCGGTCTATGTTCAGGTTTTTGATAACCTAAATTGTGCCTATTTAGGTATTATTGAAGTAATGAAGATTTTTAGAATATCATAAGATTAATGAGTCGATTTACTTTACAAGTTCTGGCCTTTAGGTTATGTAGTCGGATATGATAGATTTAAGCCATTGCTGAGGGTAGCATCTAGTATCAGAAATTGTGTTAAATATTTGACATAAAGTGAAATTGAAATAATGATGGCCCAACCCAACCCATTTTTAACACTTCTATCTCCTTATTAATTAATGCGATTTGCATCATGCGATTATCAATATGAATGAAACAACTTAATGAGAAAAAAAGAAATTGTAATATTAACAGCAATAACAACAAAAAAATGGTATCAAAATAGAATAAAGATAAGATTTATAAATCTTTAATGCGTCCTTCTTCAAGATCCCGACGTTTCTGTACTCGCGAGTGTTTTTGCTCGTATAAGAATGTCCAAATCAATAGAATTACTTCAAGTCCACCGGTTCAGTATACACATTTTCTTTGGTGTTCCTTCAAAGGAATAATTCTAACAGTGACCGATCTAGTAATCGGTTATTCCAAAGACGAAATTCCTCTGATGTCAAATATAGCGTAAATTTATTGGTGTATTTGAGCACTAATATATGGTGGTGTTCCATTAAGTCGATTCAACAACTTATCCCATACAACATTAATTGTTAAATGTTGTGGTGTATGTGGTACCTCAAACAACATTTACTCAAAATATATTGGCCCTAATTTTGTTTTGGAAGCTTATATCTTTTGTTAAACGTAAAATCGAAGTATCACAAAAATTGTTGTATTTTTAGTTGAAATTTGGAGTTATCTGATCAATTCAAACGTTTCAAAATTCAAAAATCTTCACCTTTAATAGTTTGCATCAATCCATTAGGATTTGTGAATGACGAGGTTGGATTTTTTGAACTTTTTGGATGAAAAACACAAAACAGTAAAGTCAAAGTTTTTGGTTGTGATTATAACGTAACTTTAACTCTGATTCCATCAATTTTTATTGCATCAGATATACCAGAAAGGTTTATAGAAAAAAAATCTAAAGTTGATTATTTTCCCGCCAATATGTCTTCGTTGCAAATCTTCATATTAAAATGGCGGTTAAGTTAAGGTAACTATTGGTAACGAAGCAACGCGTAGACGGCTTATTGAAGTCATCAACGCGTTTCATTCACATATTAATTTGATCCCTGAAGAAATTTTATTTCTAGCAAAATAATGGTTTAAGGAGTGAATCATTCGATGTATTAAGACACCTCCAAAGGTATCTTTGAATCATAGTGGATCTACACTGTGTTAATTAATTACCGTACCCGACGTCATCATTGCAAGTATGCAACCAGTATCACAGTATGCGTATTGCAATACGCGATTTGCGATATTGGTTGCATACTTGCAATGATGACGTGTCTTGTACAATAATTAATTAACACACTGTACATAGCTTATACTTTTCAAAGATACCTTTGGATATAGACTCCTCCAAATCTCACTCTCAACTAAAAAGAACAACCTATGGATGTTTATAGAGAGGGATAATCGAGCAGCATATCTAGTAAAAGTTACCAAGCCGCAACTTTTTTTCATCTCAATATAGATTAACTGACACAAAGAAAAGCTGGGCATCATCGATATGTACAAATGACATTCAGAAAGACATTGTAGGCAATGAAAAGGCAGATAAGCTGGTCAAAGAGATTAATACATGGGAGGATTCAAAGGTAACCTTGCGCTTGAAAGAACTTCCAGAACACAGACAAGCGAAGAGTGTGATAACTCCATCAAAAAAAAAACTAAAGCGTTTTATGCCTCAGCAAAGGGGACCTAAGGTTGCTCTCAGGTTTCCTGACAGGCCAGAGGCATTAAGAAAAATTGTATTGAATAAAGACTTACATAAATGAAGGAAGACTTGTGTAAGGGAGAAATTCAGATATTGCTAGTTACATCAAGCAAAGCAGGTAATGTTACCATCCAATCTTTCTAAGATTTTTGGAAAGTTTAAACCAAATTTTAAGAGGTGGAACATCGTTTAGTTGTAAAACATTTTTCCGATTAGACTTTCTAAAATAATGTTTTGATCTGAGAAAACATCAAATTCCATACAAAAATTCATAACATGGCAGAGATAATATGACAGGACAGAGTCTTAACGTCTTAACATAACGTGTTCTTCTTCGAACAGAATTCAATTAGATCAAATGAAGTACTAATATCTTTCAATAATAGTTGGTGCATGTCTTCATCTGCAACGAGAATTAACCTATCATCTCTGACAAGATGTAATTTACTAAAATATTTTGCATTTCTATAACTGATGGTTTCAAAAATTTTTTTCCCATATTGAGTTCTAAGAAGATAGATTATATCTTGTACGTCTGACAAGGGATAACGATATGGGACTGTAATTAGATTTAATTGTGTGTAGTTACCACAATGACGCCAATCATTGAAGTTTTTTTCTTGGGGCTGTGTGGAGTGAAGTAACTGTGGAGGATGAGTGGTTTACAAATACCGATGTGAGCAGGTAATAACTACGTTCAATCGAATGATTGACTTCATGGGAATAATCGAGAGAGTATTTAAAGAAGATGTGTTTGATTTCAGTAAGGAATCGGAATTGATAGGATTTGTGATTCAATTAATTAAACTTTGATGTATTAAATTTCTTTTGAAGTGTTAAAACCAATGTCGATGGGTTTAATTAAACGGTGAACATTTTTTTAACCATAATAAATAATAACGAATTATAGTACAATAAATTAGTAGAAACAACTATAACAATTGTAGGGCTTCTAACAAAGCAACCATTTGAAGTTGATGGAGAAAGATTATGATGGAGAAGATGGATTACTTAATTGATTATGGATTGAATTAATCTGCTTTTTATTGGTTGTTGCGTGTAGTTAAAATTTTAAAAAGGCAGGTTTAATTTACGATTCGTTATAAACCAAATTAACTGGCGTAGTAATTTCCCACAAATCCAGCATTGTTGCAAAGCTATTACGTAATTGAATACCAAAAAATTGAAACTGAAAATATCAAAAAAAAGCTGTTTATGGACATAAAAACACAATGCTTTATGGAACGGTTTTGTTAACTTAATCATGTGCTAACGTCGAAGCTGCTCAAACGTTCAACACAATTATGAAAACAAATATTTTCAAATTGTCAGCATAGAGAAGATATTAAGTGAGAGGATTAGTTAATCTCTCTGCAATACACAAACAGCTATCTTTTATGCATATACTTCTATGTATACATACTATATACACTCCATATATATTTGAAATTAACAGGGGTAGAGTTTTCCGAAAGATTATCATTATACGTTATATCTCAAACCAACATCGATTTATTAGAATATTTTGTATGACACCCATGAAAATATGATCCATCGCATGGTTAAATCGCCGTATTAATCCCACCTTAATGCGTATCTAGCCTTACTGTATTGTATGAAACTATCGTCAGGATAATACTGATTAACTAACTGCATCAGCTATTTCGTAAGCTTCTATAGTAAATATTGTTTGGGGAACATATATGCAACATATGCACATGCATTTTGAACCATTACATAAAGTAATAGCTTCAACGTTAACTAATTAACTACTTTGAGCAAAAGCACCAATTGTGTACAATTGTTTACAGCCCCAATCAATAACATCCCTCCACCTGGATGCTCTACAAAATAGATGGATAGATGATAGCGTTTGTACACGATAAATGACTAAAGTAAGACCTCAGAAGAAAAATTACTTACTACAACTACTAAAAAAAATTTATCGGCGCCTAATCTTGTTAATCATGTAAGATCATGAATTTTAAATCACGCTGCAAATATAATACTGCATAAAATAAGATAAAATAAAAACTATGCCGTGAATTATTGTTATCAACATCTTTGAGAGAAGCAACTTATACAAATGATTAACCATATCCTTACTGTCATATCCATACGCTTCAAGTGGTAACTAATCAATATATACCGATACAATCTCAAAAAAATAGTTTTTTTTGAAATTATATCTCAAATATCCAAAGTAAAATCACATAATATATAATAGGTATGCCTATGCCTAGAGTAAATTCTGAGGTGCTTGATTCTAAGGATTAGGTACAGCCAAATCATAATACAGGGTGTTGCATTAATAATGGGAAATATTTTAACTGGAGATACTACGTGTCAAAGAATGACCATTGACCAAAAATAGCCTTATTCAAAATCGCACAGTTTTTGAGATGATCTTCAAAGTTCTAATCTACTTGTACGATGAAAATAAAATTTGGCATGGCGATATAGTATTATTACATGCTTCTTATGGTGGAATTTTCCGAAGTTCGGAAGGATTTGTGACTAAAAATAGTTTAAACAGATATCCGGGTTGGCCAACACTCAAATTCTACGTCACTGGCGGAATTAATAATGAACAAAATTTAAATATTACATTTATTTCCAATATCATGATCAGTAAATGTCACTTTAATCATTTCTGGATATCATTTAGATAAATGATAATGCGTTCATGATATTAAGTGGGTACGACATATTAAAAATAAGTTCAGGCTTTGGTCTGAATACACATTTTGGTTTTCATTGGTTGTTTCTCATAGTTGACAAATTTAACAAGTTGATTAAGTGAAAATGCTACGTCATAACAATTTTTCTAATCTTGAAATGCGAGATATGCTTTGTGTTTATGCACTAGAAAATTATTCCTGCCTTGCTGCTGCTCGAAGATGTCAAGACATGTATTCAAACAGAGTTCTACCTAATCGTAAAACTTTCAGTAACATTTTTTGTCGATTATGAGAGACTGGACAATTTAAGCCCAAAAATGATGTGGGACGACCTAAAAATTTGACTGTTGATCAGGAGGACGAATTGCTGATAATCCTGAACTAAGTACTCGGCGTTTATCAGCAATGACTCGAGTAAGCTACCCAACAGTTTTTCAACTACTGAAACAAGAAAATTCTTCAATGGTCATTCTTTGACACGTGAAACACCTGTATAATACATTTATCAGAATATTTATTCGAACAATTAACTTCTATCAAAAACTTTCATGTTAAAATTTCCCATAATTAATATCATTTCATTGACATAAGGCATATGAGGTCTTAAGAGAAAAATGTTCTTCATGTATGAAACTATTTAAAAAACAAATTTCTACAAATCTCTTGCACTTTAATTAGGACTTTTTTTACACTACCTAACACAGTATGTAGTTATGTATACTAGAAACATTCATCGAAAGCAACCAGCTTTTCAAATAAAGTCTGTACCGACAGTTTTGATAATAAATATCACTGCCTTCATAAAATCTAAGTTACCCAACCTATACACTTTCAGTTCAAATATATCATTGCAACCTTATCAATCATCTTCATTAACACCTCTTTCCTCCGCCAAGGCAAAAACCATAATATTCATCTCACGTTTTACAGTCAGCGAAGTCATCTCCTGCATAACTAACTACATAACGTGTGAACTAAGAGGCTCATAAATTAATGCAGGCAATTATAGCATTAACTCTTATGATAAGTCTCACATCAATAAAGATAATGCTAAAAGTGTTGAATAATCTACTATTTATTCCACTTTTTTGACATTCTTTAACATACTTAAAAGAATTAATATCATTTACTTTGAAAGGCGATAATCAATTTCGAAAATTTATTGATAGGTATACTAAAACATGATGTTACAATATTTCTCCATTAAACATGAAATACCCTCTTAATTTCTTATTTTAAATACAATTAGCTCTAATTTCACAATACTTTTTCCTTAACCATTTTATTTTTGAATTAAATTTTATTTTCTTTGTACAGTTCCTGTTTGCGTTCAATGGACGGATGCGGCACTAAGGGGTGTGGCAGCAATTCAACGTGGTAGAGCGAGAGCAGCATACCCTGCCGCTGCGGCGGCTGCAGCCGCGGCGTTCGCAAGGCACCCGACGCCCCTGGCCGGGGCTCTGCACGGGTACACTCCCGTGCTGAACACGCTACCTGTTGACGGAAGCGTCTATTACGACCCGTTCCTAGCGGCGCATGCGGCCGACCCGAACTACAGGCTACAGGTGAGGAGAGCGTTGAGCATCCGCCCAAAAGCGGCGGCAGCCCCCGCAGAAATCAATCCTTCGACCCTCTTGCTGCTGCAAACCTCTCATCTCTCTTTCCTCTCCCCCTCTCGTTGTATGGATTTTTAATTCCGTATCGCCTACGCCCTTCTAGCACCTTCCTACCTACCTTATAGGATTCGATACGACCTTTACTATTTAGTTTGACAGAGAACTACAGCGATGCTGAAACAGAGAGATAATTGGATTTTAGGTGGAGTTTGAGAGTTGTTGTTGTTGCCTAAGGAGTTAATTATTCGGATTTAATTGGGGATAAGGTTAATTAGAGTAAGGACGTTCGTTATGGCTATTGGTTTATGGAGGAGCAGTAATTGAAGTTGGGTTGTAAATCTTGTCGTAGTTGGATCCTGGTTTTGCCACCCTCTTTTTACTTTTTCATTTGGGGTTGGAATTAATTTGATGATTGGAGTGGGCGTGGGTATTTTTGACGAGCTTGAGAGGATGGATGATAAAAGATAGTAAAAGGAATAATAAAAAAACTGAATTTACTTTATTTTTAACCATCTTTATAGCATTTTTAGTTTATTAATTTTTTTGAATTAATCATTTTTTTTTTTCAATTAAGTGAATTTTTCTATAGAAATGATTTATTACGTAAGGTGTAATCTAGCTTCATATCGGGTCATATATGACAGCTTTGTCTGATGGGAATCTGATAAAGGAAAGGTAAAGCCTTCGATAGAATGAGTCACAAAATGTTGTATTCAATATTAAATCATACAGGGTTGAGTCTCCAGATAAATTATTTATCAGACAAGTAACAGTAGATGGTTGCCTTTTACATCCTGTATTGGTAAGAGTCGGATGCTCGCTGGGATCAATATTATCCATCCCCCCTATTGCATAACATCTACACAAGTCATTTTAAAAATATAATGAACGCAGATTTATTATACTTCCTCAGACTCTGAGGTGTACACTGCATGTGTCAGAATTAATGACGATTTGGCTGGTTCAATTTTTGATGGACAAGCTTCCACATCAAGCCATAAGACAGAAATAATGCTATTCGGTCCAAAATCACTTATACAGCAATTAGTATTTAGTAAATCTGCGAAAAATTTCGCTGTAACATTGGTTGAAAGTTTAAAATTTGATTTGGATAATAATAAAAGCCTACAGAAGAGACCTATAGCTCACTTATTTATTCTAATCGGGGTTACTAATTACTAAGCGATTATGGTGCGATAGCATAGTCTTATCGCATTTCATTTTTGCTAACTGTAATTTTGACCATATAGATTGATCAAGCCGGCCTAGTAGAAGTCCTGCGTAACACTAGTTTCTTGCGTACAAATTTAACAGCAAATAAATAGTAAATATTCGGCATAGAATTCAAAGATTTAATGTCATGAAAGAGACAAAATCAGCAAATGAAGAATTCCCAAACCACTAAAAGGAAGAATTTGACAAAATTTTCAAAGACAACGAATTGACAGCTGTTCAAATGTATAATGGGGCCTACTTTGGTGTTGTTTACCAACTTCAACTTTATCTGGACGAGAAGCAAAGTCAGCTAAGGATTTTAAGAAAAACAAAGATAGGTTGATAGTGACTATATGCTAATGCATCTGACAGCTTTTGTATAATATTAAAATGTAGCCTGGTAATTACGATGCCCAACAAAATGCCTGGATGATTGCCGCATTATTTAAACACTGGTTTTCACACCGCTTTGTCCCACAGGTCAAGGATAACTTTAAAAAAACATGAGCTGCCAGAAGATAGCAAAGCGCTCCTTCTTTTACATAACTGCAAAGCTCTTATAGCAATAACAGTTGGTTTCTGGCAACATGTTTGCAACATTTTTGCCTCTAAATGTAGCTTCATTGATCCATCGTATGGATCAAGGGGTAATTCAAAATTTTAAATGTTTTTATAGAAGCTCCTTTCTTCAAGACTTATTAAACGCTGATTGTGATGTGACTGACTTTCAACAGAAATAAATAAATAAATAAAGCTAGTGAACTCTTTCGAGTAAAAAAACACACTTTACAACGCTGTTGGAGGAAGCTATGGCATTCGTCGAAACTCGTGGAACTCCTCAAATCAGTGAAGAAGAAACCTTAAATAATAATCATAATAATAATCTTTATTATCTCAACGGAAATACATTGTTATTAGTTAAACCTAAAGTTATGATAGTGAAATACACGCAGAAAACTTAAAGTAATAGACACATATAAGCTGTCAGAAAGAGCAGTACATTACATTACATTACATTACATAGACTATTACATATCGGGTAAGCGGACCAAACCAACCTTGCACCGCGACCCTAAGGATCTATTGTACCTCTATAGATATCGTTATCAAATTTCAACGTGCAGTCCAATGCTCTTAACGAACATTAATACCTTCCTCGGTGAAAAGTCATTCAGATCCGTTGGGGAGACAAACTGCGACCCAAAAATCGAGAATCTGATATGGTTAACGGCAGGGCAGTGACATAAAACATGCTCAACCGTCTTTGCTTCCTACGCACATAGTCGGCATTCAACATCGTCGGCTAAACCCAAGAAGTTGAGGTGTGCTTTTAATCGGCAGTGCCCAGTAAAGACATCCATTAGAACTTTTGCTGCTACGGGCATGACCTAAGATATTCCCGAGTTTGATAGTGGCGATGTTAATAAACATCTTAACATGTCTCATTCCAGGAGAGTAGGCGAAGTCTCTCTTCAGCGCACAGTCCACAAGTCATCAAATTCTCTGTAAAAAAGGGGCCATATAATGTCTTAGGTATAATACTCCACCTATAATAATAACCAATATAATTGCATTTGTTGGTTTTACGATATTTTCAATTTTGGCCTCTAGGGGAAAAACACAAGACGATACAGCTTTGAGATTTTCGGCATTAGCAGTTTCTCGAAAAACGAGATCATGACATGTAAGCTACTTTTTTTTCTAACTCTTATAGTTTCCAAGTTAGCCTATTCGGACATCGAATTTGAACCACCCTTTACACTATCAAAGGCTTTTGTAAGATCCATGAACAATGCAGTTGTGGCCTGTTTTCCATTTAATCCCAAGATAATATTTTCCAACAGTTGAAACATCGCAAGTTCGGTGGATCTTCTCTTCTGAAAATCATTTTAATTCTCCTACAATATATTATATTTGTTTAAATAATTTATAATTTTATTGTGTACAAGCAAGGGCGTCGCCAGCCAGTGGGCCAGGGGGGGGGCACGACAAAAAAATTGAAAAATAACACCAAATTATTTAAAACATAATTTTCGTGGCTTCTTCGCGAATTGGTCCAGATTATTAATAAAACCCTCAAAGTTTTCAAAAATATGCTTCCTATACACATTCATCATGGGAAGACCATTGAGACGACATTCTGCTATAGTGCTTCTAAGTCAGGTTTTATTGTCCTCAAGCTGCTAAAAGATAGTTCAACAGTATATGTCGTGCAGGGTAAAGTGACCAAAATTATAAAACCTTTCTCGTTTCAGGGAAAAAAATGTCGGCATCTTTTATGACATCCACAACACTTAAGTCTTTTGAGTCAGGTTTATCCTGCCCTAGTTTTTTCCATAGTTCGATTTCGTTGTTGATATTTGATAAATTGTAAAGTTGGGAAAAGACTTCACCAGCTTCTACGAGCTGGGTGTAATTTAGATAAGGAAAATAGCGGGGTGTTTTCTTCAGAAACGTGACCTTCAAAAGAATTAATAATCGAGTCTAAGTATGGTATTATTAAAGACTTCCGCCAGAATTCTGAAGGGCTTGCTGCTGGGTGGTTGTTCTGATGTTGTTGTCTCTCAGCAATACGGGGCAAGGACTTCCTGTCTTCTTCTAGTCCAAGTTTTTCTGCAACGATAGTAGCGTCCCTAATAATTCCATTTGTGACGTTTTCTGGACCTTTACGGTGGTTTTCTATAAATTCCAAAAGGCGAATAATGTGCTGGGATGCCTTAACTGCATTTAAAGCTACGGATTGGAGCACGTTTACCACAGGTTCCATCATAGCCGAGTATTTGGCTATCAAAATAAAGCTGAGAATAAACGAAAGTCTAGAAGCTGCTGCATGGAGCTGATAAGTATTTTTTCTAGTCGCATTATTTATTCTTATTTTCTTTCCGTGACGAGGTTTCAAAGGCCTCCATTATAATAGGAAAATTCTCATTAAAAACACTAATATTTTTGTGTTTCTCGCTTCGCCTTGTTTCGCAAAGCTTGGAAATATTTGGTATCAATTTGCGTCTCAAAACTGATTCTTGAAAAAATGTAATAATATCTTTGATGGCACCTTCCTTTGATGAAAGCACAAAGCTTTTTTATATTTTCTGCGTAGGATTGCTTGCACACCACCATCTTTTCCGGACATCGTCGAACAACATTTTTCAACACATTTGTCCGGATCAAGATCTTCTTCTGCCGAAAACTCATCTAGTGCTTTTGCAATACATTTCGCATCCAAAGCATCAAGTTTGACGAATCCGAGGAATACTTCTTGAACTTCCTTGGTTTCCAGATCATAATATGCCATCCCATTCGATAGTTGTTCAGTACTCGAGATGTATATTTATTGTGTTTATATTTTTTTTTTTTTAATCTACCTCCAGGGGGGGGGGCCTCTGCCCCTCTCTGGCGACGCCCTTGTGTAGAAGCTTCTCATGAATTTTTACAAGATTCAATATGAGTGCTATTGGACGATAGTTATCATAAGCAGGACTTGTCTCCTTTTTTAATTTTTCATTAGCCACAAAAGTGTAATCTTGGTAATGTAACTGCTCTATGTCTTATCATTTTACAATCGTGAGAGATTTCGCTCGATAAACCGGTATTTCCAGCAATCCGGTAAAGTCGCGAACAGGTCTAATAGAGTGGGGGCGACGGGGTATAATGTTTCTTTTGTGGTATTTGATTATTAATTTTAATTATTGATTTTGAATTGGATTCTCGTATGATTCTCTAATGGTTATAAACTGCTTTGTTTTCTTTTTGTACATCTTTTATTATTATTTTCTACTGTAACCATATTATATTTAATAATAAATAATAATTTTTTTATTATTTATTTAATTTTAATAGGCAGCGGCTGCTGCAGCACCTTTATTAAAAACACCTTTATCGACCGCACAACAAGCAAGTTACGCAGCCGCGGCAACATACACAGCAGTGGCGGCTCGTTATGGGGCCGCACAACCAGTGGCGGGATACGCAACAGTCGCAGGATACAGTAGAGACTATGCAGACCCATATTTAGGTCATGGTATAGGTCCCATGGCAGGTTATGGGGTAAGAAAAAATCCGCAAACGAAGTTATTTCAATTAATGATTAATTTTTTGTATTAGGCCGCTGTCTACAGAAGTAGTTACAATAGGTTCGCACCTTATTAAACATAAAAAAAGCATAAAAAAACATATCTCGAAGCACCGGCCTATGCCGTACACAGTAAGAAGAGAAAAAAAATACTCATTCGTCGATTTTAAAAAAGATATGGAGGTGAAGATAAACATGCACAATGCGTAGCACAAAGAAGTATAAAAGATTTTTTTTAAGAAGGAGATGAGTAAATTTAAACTAATTTAAAAAAAAAAATAGTACGGACCGGGTACGGTCAAGGAATCAAGCCAAAGAGCTGTAAACTCTCTCTTTATAATTATTTTTAATTGTAATTGTCTCTCACTAACGTTCGCCCATGTGATAGCCCCGCTAACTCAGCTCTCTCTTTCTAATTATTACATTTAAGATCTTAATTCGAGTCATTTTCGCTAAATAGTTAAAAAAAAACTTTCGGATCGAAGATTTTTTTATTCATTTTCGGTTATTTTTAGGTTTAAAAAGTAATCTATATTATATAATTATAAAATATACGTCTATATTATAGTTTTTTTTCGTCGTCGTCGTGTAGAGTGTTTAAGAGATTGAACAAATGAAATAAAAACAAGATAACAAGCGAACATTTAAAAGAATATGCACAATATTTAAAACAAAAAAAAACGCATAACGTTTTGTGACAATTTTACGATAAAGATATGAAGAAGAAAATGATACATATTATATATTATCTATATATAATATTAAAAATATATATTAGTTTTTAGTAAGTTATAATTAGTAAAAGGATTATTATTAATTATTACTTCTAGTGGAGACGCCGTGAACAACAAAAAATTAATAATAATATTAAAATAGTTTTGAATTATTTATACTGTAAGTTAAATAATTCACGACTACAAAAAAAATTGTTATATAATCAGAAACAAATTGTTCTTCTTCCAGACCGCAAATTATTATTATTTTTCGTTTTTGCAACAATTTTTTTTTAAGTAAACTAAGAATCTGTGTGCCAGTGTTAATTAGTACGACTGTCAAAACACAAATTTATTTCTTTCCTTTTTAAGTTAAGAAATGAACTCATACGTACGTTGTGTAGGTAAAAATGAAACGTTTTTATAGTTCATAAGAGTGCAATCGTCGTAGAATTAAAAAAAAACACATTTTTAAATGGATCATATATCTAATAACGATAATGACCCTATTTCTGTATGTATTTTTTTGTTTGTTTTTGATACTCATACAACATATCGAACAAATTTTGAGCTCTCTACTCGTTAAAAAAACAACAAAAAAAGTGTGTGTGTAATAATACGTTATGTGTTTAATCCCAATTACAAAAAAAAAAGAAATATTCTCTAGCCTATAAATGTGATTTTTTCTTTTATATTACATGAATCTATGTTAATTTTTAAGAAATAGGCAAAAAAATATTTTTTTACAACAAAAACAGTATGTGGTTGATATTAAATTATTAATATACAGTGTGTTCATTCACATTTTTTAATTTCACGCAGTTAAATATTTTTTAAAAAAATATCTAACAACACAGAGTTACAACAATACATCACGTTATATTACAAATTTATTTAGGAATTGACTTCGTTTAAATAAATATGTGTATCGTTTAGAAATAGAATTTAGAAATTTTTTAAGTTTTTATTTTTTTGTATAGCTTTGTACATACAAAAAAAATATGTACGGTATCGACTAAAAGTTTTGTCTCATCTAAACATGACTAATAAGAATTATTACAGATGACTTCAAAAAAAAAATAATCAAAGACATACTGTTCATATAATTTAATTATTGTACATTGTTGAGCAAAAAAATTTTTTGAACTGACGTTATAAACGAAAGACTTGAAAAAAAAATATTGTAAACGCTACCTCGACGCAAGTGAAATAAAAATTTCGATGTAGTTGATAGTTTCTCTCGATTTGAATACGATTATTTAGTTTTTCTTTTTAATTTTTTTTTTTTGATGTATGCGTTTTTAAGACACCTGTATAAAATTAATTTATTTTTAACCAATACTGAAAGAGAATCTTGTAAAATTTTAATTCAGCAATGTTATAATTTTACTTGTCCTCTTTTAACTTAATTTTTCAATTCGTTTTTTTTTCTGATTGCTATTCGTTTGTCCCCGTTTTCTTAATTAAGGTTTTTTTTCGCCCACTACATGTTTGTATGGTCGTGTTAAAATTCAAATTGTTCCAATACATTGTTATTATTGTAAGTAGATTAAAAAAAAGTGATGAGGATAAATTTTCGATAAAATACTGTAACCAGTTTCATTAATATAAACGTTTAATAATAACTTGTTTTTCTTTTTTTTTTCTTTTTACTAATTTAAATTGTTTGTGTACTTTGTAATATTTCATGAAAACATAAACTTGTAATAGTACTACTTAGTTCACATATTTGCATTTAACTGGTTTTATATTTAGATATTATTTTTATTATTCATTTTTTCAAGTTCTTTTTTTCAGGTAACATCACTTCCAATGTAAAGACAAACAGAGCACAATATTTTCAACAGTATTAAGTGATAAGAGTTTTAACTTTAAAATTAAGGAATTTTGTGGTTTATACGATATTTAAAGTGTAAGTAAATAGACGTTTTTCAATCGATATGTATTCAGTATTTTTAACCTTGTAGTAGTGACGACATATTCTATAACACAACTGGTGACATGGTCCATGCAGATCCCAACATTATCTCGAGCCAGATCTCATGAAATTGTTGAAGTTGACTTTGAAACGTTACTTATAGGTTATATTTGAACAAAGCAGAATATATATTTTGCTGATAATTTTCAAAAATCGCTATAAAATTAATTTCTTGAAGGATCCTTTTGGAAGTATCACCAATTATTAATTAAAGTATCCTCTTTTTAATGCTCTTTAAGTTCTTGAGAAATAAATTTTTGAAATAATCGACAATTTTTTCGAATTTTGTAATTTCCGCCGATTAAGTTTTAAAAATTCGTATAAAATCCATTTCTTGGAATATGAGTATGAAAATTTCCCAAAGTGTTAATAAAAGTGTCCTCTTTCCAATGAACCAACACCTTTTGAAAAATAACTTTTAGTTTTTGAGAAAACAATATTTGAAGTTGTGATAAAATTTTCGATGTTGCAATTTTCATCGATAATTTTAAAATTCGCTATAAAATTAATTTCTTGAAGGATCCTTGTGGAAATATCTATATGTAATTTATAGCTGATATGGTTGCAATAAACCTGCTTGATTGTAATTAGATAACAGATAATCAGCACATAGGTAACTACAAATTGCCAGTTTGCTAAATGAATATAAAATATATCTAAAACAAAGTTCAATAAGCAATTATTCTGTCTGCTCCTGTTGTTTACTAATTAAGAACGATAATAAGAAGAGTTTATTTGACTAAACTGGTGTATTGCGATAGGGAGAATAAAGTCTAATAACCAGAGTCCCGACAGTTTAGGCACAGAATAACATATTTTGAGGGTTAGGAAATGTGCGCCCCTCCATACGAAGCGAATAGCTCCCTCAGCATGCTCGTCTTATGTCACGTTAAAGCAGGAGTGAAGGGTGTTTGATAGTCATTTTCCTAAATTGCCCAGGTCCTCCTATTAACATCACAGTGTTAGTATTGTTACTGAAATTTTCATTGAAAATTGTGAAATTGAATTTGCCTTTATTGCAACAGAATGATTATCAGTAAACAAAATATCTAATTCGTTTAAGTTAGTGAAAAGTCATTTATGAGCAAGGTGAAAAACAATGGTGCCGTCATACCCTCTTTGGGAGAGAAATATATCTTATTGGAAAAAAGATAAGTAGACATATCTATATAGTATGGTATTCTGAGTTCGATATATTTATGATTAGATCTTTGGTAATAAGTGAAGATATTCGCATTAGTCGTTTTCGCAAATTTTTCAGTTTTTGCTGATCGCATGAAAACAAAAGACGATAGCTGTTAGGAGTTTTTGACATTTCACAGTTTTTCGAAAAACGAGATCATGGACACCTATACAACCAGCATGCATCTCTCTAGGTAATTCAACCACCAGATCTGCTACTCCAAAGTCCTCAAAAATCTCAACAAAGGAAATTCAAGACATTGATGCAATTTTGTTCGTTCAATCATAAATCTCTGGTATAGTTATTGAAAGTTGTTTTGTAGTCCTAAAACCGTACATAAGAAAATGATAAGAATCTCCTGCAACCAAAAAACTCAATATTACTGCTAGATGTTCGTTAGACCATAATTTAGACCAGCCCTGTCCAAATTTTGTGCATTTTTTGTACCTAGGCCTATTATCAATGTCAAATGTAATGAAAACAAAAATACAAACATAAATGAACAACTGTCAAAATTCCGTGGCCAAACTTAAAAAAAACCAAATGGTTTCCTGCATACTATGTATGTTTTGATAAATTTCCTATTATGATCAGAACTACAATAAATAGATACAGGAATGTTTATAGATGCTTTGTAGAGAATTAAATTCCCTTTCTGATAGCGTCATAAAGTATGGGGCCATTTACAATTTTCGAATTTCTTGCCATTGAGTGTGGAAAAACGGTAATTCAATTTTTGACCAGTCTTTATAAGATACTCTGATAATCGTGCCAATTTAGAGCTTTTTTGAATAAAGTTGGCGGAGAAATAGGGTTTTAAAAAACCTGGTTAAATTTTCCAAAAAAAAATTAAAATCAAAATAACTTGAAAACCATATTTTTGCGTATAATTTAAAATAACAAATTTATGGTCTACTTCCGGTAGGCTGGAAGTGGCGGTCATCTTGAAAGTATTTTAAATCGAAGATTTACCCGTCCTATCAAAATTTAAAACCTGTACGACTACACTGTTCTATAGTTACGTAGGACACCTGTATAAGCGGAGCAGCTATAACCACAATAATATATTGCACTTAAGATGTCATATCTTGCTATTTTACCTCTAGTTCCGAGCTATTGCTGGCTATCTGTGTGGGTCTCTTGAATTACTGCTACGTCTATGTTGTTTTCTCGAAGAATTTTTGAAAGATATTTTAAGATCCGCAAATTCGGAGAGTGTTTCCTAAATCCTTTCTCATATGGTCTTGATCAGGTCCAGTTAGTATTTGAGTGGATCCATGTGTCTTTAGTCAGGAGATCCTTAGATTAGTCTAACTGCCAACTGTTCTGGCTCATTTGGCTAGAAACAACTACATCACTTCTAAGTGGGAAAAAGACTGGATGGCTAAACCACTACCAGGAATAAACCAAGGTCCTGCTCAACGAAGAACGTAGGGAACATAGAGTCTGTTGTGAGATAAAGGTTTAGGGCAAATGAAGGTCCATGATGAACGTAAGTATTGCTCCAAGGTCTTGTTTCTTTATGTCGGTAAGAACTTTACCGAAAATTTTGTGTCTTGGGCGATGCAACCACTCAGTATGTGTTCAGCAGTTTCTGACTCGTCGTTGCAAAGTCGAGAAGTTTGATTCTCAGCTGTCTGTGGTGGTAGCCTCCACAAATGAGGAGTGCTGCCATCATCTCAGTGTGACCGCGGAGCTCCAAAACAATTTATCCAGCACATTGTGAGGGACTTCTTTGATGCTAAACTCCGAACTCTTGATTAGCTAGTCAAATTGAGTTCTATCTACAATTGTATTGTGTGTTTTATACAGGGTGTCCCGCAACGATTGTACAAAACTGCATCAGCGTATTCTATGATCAAAAATAAACAAAAAAAGCCTAATAAACATAGGTCCGAAAATGGACCATTTTCGAGATATTCAAAGATTTAGTTTCATAAGTTGATATTGTTAACATCATGAATTTAAATTTGTTTTTATAATAATTAAGTCGTTACTATGACTACGATAAGTTCTCTAATCAAAAAAAAAAATAATAAAACTTCACGAAATTATTATTTTACTATTTAATGTAATAAAACTATTAAGTATGGCTCCTATTAATTACTCCAAGGAAGAGATGGCGGATATGGTGTATTGTTACGGACTAGCTGATGGAAATGCGTCGTTAGCAGCTCGTCATTACGCGCAAAGGTTCTCGAACAGACGATTGCCTAATAGTCACACCTTTAGCAGACTATTTCTCAGATTAAAAGAAACGGGAAGCGTAACCCACAGCCATTCCACGGAGAGACATTACACAAGGCCGGTGGAATTAGAAGAAGCAGTTTTGAGAAGAGTCAATGAAAATGCCTCAACCCGCATTAGAAGAATTTCTGCACAAGAAAACATTAACAAAACAACCGTTCACCGCATTTTAAGGAAACAGTTGCTTTATCCTTATCATTACAACATCGTTCAAGCTCTAACAGAAA